AGCAGGCCGTGGCCCGGCCCCTGCTGTCGCCCGGGCTTGAGCTCAGGGGCTTATCGCTCTCTTGATCGTGCTCCGTCGTGCCCCGACCGGTATATAAACGTTGCTTGTTTACGTTTGGGTACTCTCTGGGGTTTCTCAGTTTGTTCTTCGCCTCGCGGCCTTCTGAAGCTGTTTGCAGCGTAACCGTGGAGTTAAAACGTGAACATAGTAACTGAACAGGCCTGCAAGCTGCTTGCTTTCTAATGGCTTCCTAGCTGCATTCCTCAGAGCCGGGTTTGGGTAAGAGGAAAGCGCAGCCCGGAACACTGCACTTTTTTTTTTATTGCTAATAGCCCCGTTTGAAAGCTGCCTGTTCAAAAATTACGCCTTATTCTCCAGGCTTTTGAGATATGGGTGCTTTGGCAAATTAATTTAGTAATCGTAAGGGAAGTGGGTGTTCTCCTTGCTGTGACAGTGTTAATTTTAATTAGGTATAGATAAACATTTAAAGTGTTGCAGCAGTGTTGAAATTGCCTAGCCAGTGTGCATGCTGGATTTCCTCTCCTTTAATTACTTTTGCTAATCGGTACTAGAAGCTTAAATGACAACGTACTTCTCTCTCAGCAATTTTTTATAAATGTACTGAGAAACCTCCCAGACTGAGTTAAACTTACTAATGTAATGAAGAGCATGTGGAAAAAAGATGGTGGTGTTGTTGTGTTGCAGCTGATGGGTGCAAGGGGGTTAGAGAGGACATTTGTGCTAGTGCCCATTGGTGGTGGAGCCCAGCATGTGACCCCTGCACTGGCGTGATCAGCATTGCCCAGCAAAGGGTCCGAAGTTAACCCCACTGCCGGATCAACCTGAGGAGTGACCAAAGGGGTGAATTCCTCTGAATCCAGACACCTCACTCCAGCATCCAAGCTGCTCCTGATGGTAAGGGCAGGGTAAGCGTCTTGTTCTTCCTTTTTGCTCCACCCAAAATGCTTCCAAGTCACTTTCTCCAAATAACGTGCATGTTGGTAACGTTGAACAAACTTTACTGAATCCCAGTGTGAATGTCTTCGCTAGAAACATGTCTTCCAGACATTTTGTAAGAAGTGGGTTTATTCTTTGCTAATTACTACATTAAGTGGAGATGCGCATGGCAGTTCTGTGGAGGAACACTTTTCCTCACTGGAAGAGTTGTTTGTGACTTATCAGTGTGGCAGCAGCACCAGGAAGCTGGGAGGAGGCAGGAGACCTGAGATGAAGTCTTCGGAAGTGGCCGCCTCAGCTTGCCAATGGCTTTGCTTGAGCAGTTCTGACTTTCATGTCCCCGAGAAGGTGTTTTCATTTGGCGGCTGTTGTCTTCTGCCTCTTCTTGGCCATTTTGATTTTCTCCCCATCTGCTAGAGAGTCATTTCAATCACCACTGTAAATACATAGCGATGCAATAGGAAGGAAGGTGATAACGCTTGCTTGGGGGGGGGAGGTGGCAAATTTTTAATGATTAAACTGCCTCCCTACATTTATTACTCATTAGAGAGAGTGAAGGGAGCTGACTCAGCTGGGGGTTGTGTGTCTTCCCAGCAGTCAGCTTGAAAGGTGCATTTATTATAAATTCTGGACCGTGTTCAACACCTCAGGGTGTGTCTTTTGTTCTGGGGGCCTTGGGCTTCACCAGAATACTTTTTTGGCCTCCCCATGCAGGTTTTAGCGTTCTGTTTACCTGTATCCGAGAGAAAATTGTAATTAAATGGGCAGAGTAGGCTACTGCTATGCTTAAAGGTCTGCTGATGCTCAGGAGCTTCGCAGATCAGAGTCCACAGGCTGAATTACTCTGGGTCCTGCATAGTCCAGGCTTAAATCTGGGCTCTCTGAAATCCACTGGCGTTGGAGCCCTGCTGTCCTAGCCTGGGTCAGAGGCACCGTTAGTCACGTGGCTTTGTGTTTCTGTCCTTGTAGAGTTTGCTTGGAGCATGGAGACCTTCTCACCACCAGAACCAGAGTTCCCTGCAGAAAAGAGCTCATCTGTGCCGCAGAAAAAATCTCATATCCTGGTGGGTGTAACTGGAAGTGTCGCTGCCTTGAAGTTGCCTCTCCTCATTGCCGAACTGCTGAAAATCCCTGGGGTGAGTAAATCTATTGGTAGAAGTCTTGTAAAGTTGGTGTTATCCTGTTTCTCCTTTCGAGGAGAGATTATGTGGCTTCTGTTGAAATGGAAAGTTTCTGCTGGCTTTCAGCCCTTTGGTTTGAAAATCTGTTGGAGGAGGGATCCTCCTGTTTTTAAAAATCGATTAATACTTTTTCCTATCATTTCATACTTCTTTATACCTAAGAGTTAGCTTGAAGTTGGGTTTTAAGGGTGTCGCGGATGGAGTGAGAGAGAAGTTATGCCCGGGGAGGTTTAGGTTGGACACTAGGACAAATTTCTTCACTGAAAGAGTTGTTAAGTGTTGAAGAATTTCACCAGTCTGTGGGTATCTTTAGGTTTGGCTTTATTAACAACTCTGAGTTGGGCCATCACCTCAGTGTGTGGCAACTAGGTATTACAACTATCATCTTATATATGCTTCCAACATAATTACATAATAGATAAAGTTTACTGTAAGTTTGCACTATGTTCTCAATTCTTCATTCTTCTAAAAGTCCATTAATTTCCATCAGTCAACATGTTCTGTCTTAGAATCCATTGGTCTGTCTCGAAGGATCTTAGAATCCAGCCATGGAGGGGGCTATACAATAGGCAAATGAGCCGTACAGAGTAGTCTTGTCTTGGAATTGTTTACACACCTGTGGTTACACAGCTGTGAGCACCTTATCATTAATCCTATTTCTATGATATTTATAGAATAGCTATTGATTCTTTGAAGTCTATAATTCTATAGTTTCAGTTATCTATTTTTCTTAACATAAGCATTGGAAGGGGCTGCCCAGGGGAGTGGTTGAGTCCCTGTACCTGGGGGTATTTAGAAGCTGGACAGACGAGGAGCTTAGAGACAGGGTTTAGTGGTGGGATGGCAGGGTTAGGATAATGGTTGAGCTTGGTGATCTTAAAGGGCTTTTCCAACCTCAATGATTCTATGATAATGCAACGAACAGCCTTATATCGCCATTTACCATTTACCCTTTTTGGTGAAGCAGATGTAAACCAAATGTTTTCTGTTAGTGTACCCTCGGGGAGGGGCAGTGCATCCAGCATGGGTTAAGGTTTACAAGGTTGTTGTACTGCTAAAGGCTCTGTGGTTATGGGCATCTGCAATTTGGAAACTTAGCCTGTCTGTCACTTAATTGTGTATTTTCTGCAACTCCTGGTAGGTAGGTGTACCATTTTCTGTTAGTGGGGTTTTGTGTGACTCCTTCTGGGGGAGCAGTCCTTTTTAGGATTGCTTCTAGTAAATTTAATGGTCCTCTAGTTTGCACAGGCTGTCCCTGATGTATTTTCTCAACTTGTTCAACTGCTTGGACTAAAAATAAAAGTCCCTTTTTGTCATTCAGGACTATTGTTTCCGTTTCTTTAAATTCGGTTGAGCAAAACACTAAAGCTCTTTTGGCCCATGGGGGCCAGTTTGGAATAGGTTAGAGTAAGTAGTGTGTTTTTAATTCTTCAGTTAAGAGTTTTGACTGCCTGTTCATGTTCTGATTTCCACTCCAGGGTTTGCCTTTCCATAAGAGTGAGTATAGTGGGCAGGAAATGATAGCAAATCCAGATATGTGCTTCCTCCAGTGTCCTAAATTTCCCATTATTTGCTGTAACTCCTTCCTGGATTGGGGCATTTGCAGCTCTTCTGTTTTTCTTAAGGTATGTGGAAGAATCACTACACTGCTTGCTATCCCCCAAGTACCTAAAAATTTTGCTTCTTTACTTGATCCCTGACGTTTTCCGGGTGGAATCTCAACTTCTCCTTTATTTACTGCTTGCCATGTTGCTGCTGCTGCTTCCCCTGCCTTCTCAGGGGAAGTTCCTCCAATGAGAATATCATCTATAGATTGGTACAGTTTCACTTCTTGGGGGAGTGAGACTGTGTACAATTTCAGCAAGTGCAGCATGAGCAATCGTGGGTGAATGTTTGTACCCCCTGGGAGTCTGTTAAAGGTGTATTGTATCTGCTCCCAAGTGAAAGCAAATTTCTCTTTATCCTCCTCCTTTAAGGGAACCATAAAGAACGTATCTTTTACATCCAGCGTTGCCATCCAGGGTGGTGCAGCTGCTTGCGAAGTAGCTGTGAAGTTTGCAACGTCTGGAGAGAATTTGTCATTTCTCCCTATCAGCTGTGACTTCAGAAATTCCATTTCATGCCACAGCAGAGATCAGATATTGCAGTAGGTCAGTGAATTTTTGACTCGGGGAAGGCAGGGGCTGCGAGAAGCGCCCACACTGGAGCCCTCCAATTTCTGTTGGGATTGGGATCAATGTTTGAGCTGAAGGCCCACATGCTGCCGTTCCGCAGGCACCAGGTTCATCTGTTTAAAACCTCAAAACCTAAAATATTTTCATTATGAGCTTTAATTGCAAAGCAAGTAGTCAACATGCGCTTCTTGCCCGGGAGCCATAAATTTTGAGTTGAGTTTGACACTCAACACTTGCTCTTTGCCCTCTGGATCATACACCGAGTTTCTCGGCATCTTGTGTTAATGGTGAAATTTGTGCTCCTGTATCTATTAAAAACTTCACCAATTGCCCTTGAGGACAAACTGGAATTAAAACGTATGGGCCGTCATCACTTACCCATTGATAAGCCTCCACTTCCCGGACAGGCAGGCCCAATTGCCTTCCTGGCACTACCTGTTTTTTCACTTCATGACCTGCAATTCCTCCCTAAGGGGGGAGGAAAGGGTTGTCTCCCTTTCGGGGGACTGGTGCCAGAGGAGTTAAAATACTGCTTCTTCCTTTCACCCTTACCTTGTTTCTGGAATGCTTCAATCAGACTCAAGATAATGCCAAGTAGGCTGACCTTTCATCTCTCTCTGGGCATGCCCTGGGCTAGTGCATTCCTCATTTGCAGCTCTTCAATTGCTTGCCGGCTGTTTTGAGCCTGTTATTCTGGGAAGTTAGGACTCTGATTCGCTCCCTGCCTCCATAAATACTGGGTGATACTATTTGCCATCCTGCCCACTATGCCAATTTGTTGCGGATGGCATGAGAGAGAAGGGAAAATGTACTTTATTGATATAAACCAGTGAGTTAACAAGGTTCAATGGTAAATGAGATGGTGGTTTAACAAGGTTCGATGGCAAGGTATGCTTGGTTATTTGCTGCACAGGGGACAAAACTGTTAGGGAAACCATCCCTTTGAGTCGTGAGGGTGAGGGAAGACCCCCTTGCTTTCTGAACTCCTTCTCAGAGAGGAGCCTAGGTGCAGCTGGATCCAACCCCAGTCCCAGACTTCGTCAGCAGTTAATGTGTAAAGGGTTATATATGCACAATCAACCCTTTACATCACTCAGCTAAGATTTCAAAGTTTAGCATGCTGTTAGTCACTTACCGAGGATCTGTTGGGGTAAGGAATCTCTCAGCCCGGAGCAGTAACCCTGCTCCAGGAGCACTCGAAGGGCCCTGGGCTGTCCACTATATAGAGAGTAAGACAATTGCCTTCTAGTCATATTTGCATACCAGCAAGACATCTGGGTCCCTGCCCCAGACAGGCCTTGGCTACTGAGTTTCCATCTGTCCCCAAAGCCCAGCACACCCTGGCTGCAGCCATCACCACCCCCACTGGTGGTTAGTTCAGCTTGCTTCATTGTCTCAAAAACGATTGGGTAGGTCCTTGCTGTGTTTTGGGTTGTTTTTTTTTTCCTGGAATATGTCCTTGTCAGTCAAATTATCAGATAGGGCTACAGGCACAGGTAGATGCTTTCCAGAACTTGAAATCTCTAATTAGGACTTTGCAGTTTTCCGTAAGTGAGGTGTGGAGTTTGCAAAAATGGATACTGCTGTCTGACCAATGAAGGGAACCCAGATCTTCTAAAAACAGAAATAGAAAATACAAGCTACTACATGTGTCTCTGCATTAATTTTTTTTTTTTTCTTTTTAAAACTAGTTTATTGTCTGGAGTAACGGAGGTGTCCAGCAGAGGCCACTAGCAACTAGAATCAGGGAGGGAAATGTGCTAACTTTTGCTGTAGAATAAAGTTAGAGGACAACATGGAAAACCTTTAGCTTTTAAGAAAGAAAGCAAATGTTTTGGAGCAGTGAAATGGA